CGTTGCTGTGAAAAATATGGCAGGCCCTCGCGAACACACCCGTTATTTAGTTAGTCGCTCACAGCTCGCCGCATAATTAGGACACGTTCCCTAAAAAACTAATTTTCTATGTGTTTTACGGCCGAAAACTGAAACGATATTGAAATAAGTAAATAGGCCGAAAACTATGAGGCCACTCTTAGATTTCAAATTCCATTAAAAAATTGATGCCTTTCATCTAAAAGTAAGCAGTGCTTACGAAGCGAAATAAAGGTTTTGGCCGTATAAAGGTTGCTACACACACACACACACGCGCACGCACACACACCCTCACACACACTATTTTTTCTGAACATTCCGATCGTTCAGAAAAGTGCCTTTAGATAAGTACAATAATGCCAGAAAATTTAGCCAGCACGCGTTAGATGTTCTAAACGATCCGACTGTTCAAATAAAAGCGTGTGTAGCAAGCTTTATTCATTCTAAACCTAGATCATAATCATATGCAATTTTTGAATTTGGAATCATTCTTTCATTCGTTCCATTATCATTCGTTCAGCGCGTGACTTCACGTTTCCGAACCATTCATTCGCGCCGCCGAACCCGGCGACGCCAGTCGGCGTGCTGGTGGATGGCGCGGCGTACCTGTGCGCGGTCGCGGATGCTATGGAACTCGCGACTCAAGAAATCTTCATCGCAGACTGGTGGCGCAGCCCAGAAATATATATGAAACGGCCCTCACTTAATGGCAATTATTGGAGACTAGATTGTATACTAAAGAGGAAAGCGGTAAGGAATACTTTTAACTATCTTGTATTGTATACTAGCTGTTCCCGTGCGGGTTATTTCGCATGAAATAATGAAAATTTAGTTTTATTTACATTTGTCAAATTATCAATATGTCATGATAACAAACCATGACAATCTTATTTCCTTGATGTTGGCAGCTCGTAGCTCATGGTCCCTTTCCCACATTATGGGTTTTATCCAATTTGTTTACCCCTTATGTTTAATAGCGAGAAAATATAAAGCCTAAAGCGTGAAGTGAGTGTAGGGATTTTTATTAAAAATATAATTAATTCGAAATATGCTGTGATTGCTGACATCTTACGCCTCAAAGAAATGTGTGTTCATGCTTTATTATAATAGTATAGATTTCTGTCTCTTTCTCGGCATTAAACTCATGTCTTGATGAAATTGAAATCTGTCTTGCTTTGTAATACATGAAGAACGCGTCTTAAATGTGAAAGTGACCGATGCGGGAAATCTTATTAAGTGGTTTTTAATAATAGATTTTACATATATACTTTTATTACTTATGTTGTAATTTTTTTTTATTTTTCAGGCGCAAGGAGTAAAAGTGTATGTGATGCTGTATAAAGACGAAGAAATGGCGCTCGGTATCAATAGTTACTATAGCAAAGAAGTACTTACTAGGAAAAGTGAAAATATTAAGGTGAAACGGCTATCATATAAGGTGCTAGACCATATTTTGGTACAATTTAACTAAATATACCTTAAATTGCAGGTTATCCGTCACCCAGATCATGCACGCGTGGGTGTATTGTTGTGGGCGCATCACGAGAAGATCGTGTGCGTGGATCAGAGCGTCGCCTTCCTAGGCGGCATCGATCTCTGCTACGGCCGCTGGAACGACCACAAGCACAGGTTGGCAGCAAAGATAGTACACCTGGAACAGTGTCTTCTTTCCGCGAATATCGATCTCACGCTTAAATTAATAACTAGATGTTGCTCGCGACTTCGTTTACGTGGAATTAAGAAATAGTAACAAAACATAGCCTATGTTACTCTGGGATAAGGTAGCTTTTTAATGGTGTAAGAATTTTTGAAATGGAGTATTTGAGTAATCAACACATACAAAATACAATTTCCTTTTATAACAGTATTGTAAATAACAGTATTTACTAACATATGTATGAATCTTCCAGACTGACAGATCTGGGCAACATAGCGCAGCCTGTCTCCTCAATACGCACCAAGAAGAAGACCTCAAGCTCTCCCGGAGGCGGTCTATGCCTGCCCACCTCAAACGGTTTGGAGGCCGCGATAGAACTGGCCAAGAGCTCGAAAAACATCGTCATGGGAATCACTGAGTAAGACTCGTTTTTGTATAGTACCCGGCAATTGAGTTGGCACGTCAGGGACTAGAGTAATCTTCAGTGCGACGTGCCAACTAAAGCACGGAGGCAATTTATTCGTTGGAAGTGGTCAAGGTTTTTTTCGTTTGTCATTTTATTTATTCTAAACAATACATAGAGGTATTATTTCCTATAATTACAGGATAAGTAGTTTTTTTTCTTGACGTTTAGTCGGTTTTTTAATGAATTTATTTCATTTGACTTTTTGATATATTCTTTGAATCCCCATTTTAGTGCATATTATTAAACTGTTTTTTGATTGATTTTAATTTTTATTGAAATAATCAACACTTTTCAGGCCTATGCAAGAAATTATAATAGAAACAAAGGATGACAAAAAAGCGGAAGGAGATTCAGAAACTAAGGAAGAGAAACTGCCCGTGTTAGAACCTGGAGATCAACTCTTAATAGCTTCTGCAAAAATAACTGATCCACAAACAGATTCACCTGATCAGAAAAAAAACGTATTAAATAAAATAACAGATAGAGGAAAAGATATATTCAGTGTTATTTATCCTCCATTCGAAGAAGAGAGAAATGAACAAAGATTCGATGATTCTGAACGAAAGAAAGCAGAGAAATATGCGCTATCTAATGATCAAGTTTTATTAACAGATGCGTTAGGAATAAAACATAAATCAGTAATTCAGCCGACCCCTTTAGCGCAGGTGGTTGAAGGCAGAGTCATCACTGAGAGTACTAAAGAGGCTTTAGAAGGAATCGAGGGTAATTCTAAATTATGGATAGGAAAGGATTATGTGAACTTTATAGTTAAAGACTTCAATAATTTAGATCTACCGTTTGTGGGTGAGTTTATTGTTTTGACTTTGTATGATTAAGGGGAAAAAAACAAATTAGTGGAATTTATTACAAAAGGAAAAAGGGAATGAATACATAACTAGATGGCGTTGTTATAAAATATATACATTTTTAACAATAATTCTCACTTCAACTCGATCTGAAAGAAACCGATTTTAAAAACTATATTTAAAAACATATTAATATAAGTTGTTTTGCTTTGACTCAAAAATCACAAAGGTCGTCATTATTGCCAACCTTGTCTATTTTTCGGCTCGAAGGACCAATTAATATTCTTTTGAAACTGTTGAATCGTATTGGTCAAATGTTCTCAGCAAACTACGTTTATGTCGCACAGACCACAACTTTTGAAGTGATGACCTTGACGAGACTAATGACCTTGAGCTGCCAAGATAATTGTATGCGAGGTCGTAAATTATGAAAGGTCTAATAATATTCAGACCTTAAAACTATATTTCCAGACCTTGTTGACCGCAACACTACACCGCGTATGCCGTGGCACGATGTAGGCGTGGTTGTACAACAAGCGGCCGCCCGCGACGTCGCTCGACACTTTATACAACGTTGGAATGCGGTCAAATTAGAGAAATACAGGTAATATGAACACAAGCATATATCACGGCATTTGGATGGATTTGATGGATTAATTTTTTTTTAATATTTTACAGACAAAACTTTAATTACCCATATTTGTTACCGAAGACATACAGCGAAATAAAACCGTTGCAAGGTTTGAAGGAATTGCTTAATATTGATATTAACAACGCGTCTTGTCAAGTAAGTTAATTCTCCTCACTCTTATAATTCTATCCACACGATCTGGTAAGGGGAGGTTCGCGCGAGTAAAATAAATAAGAAGTAAACCAAAACTAAACTACTTTTAATAAAATTTACAAATTAGGGAAATATAGATACAATTCAGCCTAGCGTTGTGACATCTTATCGAAGACTACTTCAATTATTTACAAAAGAATTATTAAAAAAAATATACATTCTTATTTTAAAAAAGGATTAAAAATAAAAACACAAAAAGGTTTATTGCATCGCCAGCAGTACCCCTCACACAAGTACACCTCTCCTTGTAATGATTTTCTCTATTTTATTAGTTCTCTCTACTCTAATAATCCGCTCCAATGTAATAGTTCATTCTTGTCTTATAATTATTTTTGACCTACTTCCCAAAAGAAGGAGGTACTCAATTCGTCGGTATGTTTTTTTTTTACTTTAATAGTCCACTGTGACAAGTAAGATAATTTGGCATAGATGTAGAGCATAGTGTGGAAGAACACATTGGCTATTTTTTTTTAAAACAAAAGGTGGCAAACGAGCAAGCGGCCACCTGAATCCGCCAAAATGGCGAAGCGACCGCAGCCCATAGACATTCGCAATTGCAAAAGCGTTGCATACCCTTATCCAACAGAGGAGGAGATGCACACAAAGAGGATATTTCCCCTTTTTATGTATCTCCTCCTCCGTCAAATCTACTTTCCCTTCCCATCCTCTCCTAATAAGAAAAGGACAGTAAAGAGAAAGGGACTTAAATTAGGCCTCCGGCACCACACTCATCAGACGAAACACGGAATTGCTTCCACTTCACGCCTGTCTTCTGTGTGGTCGTGGTATTACACCGGGCGTGCCGGCCCTGCAGTGCTAAGATGTTAAAGCGGGCACTACCACTGTAGTATTTTTTTAAGTCCACGCGGTTAGAGTCGCGTGCGAAAGCTATACTATGAGTGAGATGTGTTTGTGGTGATGTCAGGTGCTGCGCAGCGCGAGCAGCTGGTCGTGCGCCTTCCAGGAGCCCGGAACGGTGGAGCAGAGCGTGCACGAGGCCTACGTGGACACCATAACGCGCGCGCAGCACTACCTCTACATCGAGAACCAGTTCTTCATCACGCTCTGCAGGACCAACCTCAATGTTAGGAATCAGGTTAGACCGCATTCTGCTTCACTTAAATGTTCCTTTTGACGCTTTTTCCCTTTCTCTTGCTAGTTTTGTGATCTTATCTCTGCTTAAACAAGGAGTTTAATCTTAGAACATTTTTAAATAAATGGTTTTATAACGACCATTTTGTCTCTTATAACTTTTATTAAACGAGCTATGGTCCGCAAACTTCGGAATTTAAAAAAATGCAGTCATTTCCGAGTGTATCTGTCTTCTACCAGCTACCCTTTAAAGAAAGTCCTGTCAAAATCGGCCCATCCGTTTGGGAGACTACCATAAATAAACACGGCTTGCGAACAGACTGACAATTTTTTAACGCAGTTTTCGTTATCAGCACCGCAAATACATCATCTCTGCGAAATCTGGATTTTTTTTATGTTATTAACACAGACACTTAAATTTAATCATATGTATAGAAGATAGATAGATAGATGTATATTTA